AGCATTAGGACATCCGACTCCAGCGACTCTGTCTAAAGTATCAGGCAGGGCAAAACAAGTACCATCTTTAACGTCTTTCGGTATGACCACGCGCTGGGTATCGAACCACCGACCTTCGACAGTCCGACAGACACACCAAACACACAAAAAGATGCGTAAAATAGTTAAGTCTATACACTTATGGTGATCCTTGGGAACAGATATTGCAAGAAGTAGTAGTAAAATCCTTCCTAAATTTACAAAAATTTACAACCCTTGTAAATATGATCTTTACCATTTTGGAAATTTTGTGAATATGATATTTACAAATTGTAACTTTTTGTAAATGAGCATTATTTTTTCTTGTGCCACCCACTAGACCATGGTCAGATTATTGAACAAGTGAATGAATTTATTAACAGCTACCAACCACATCTCAAGTGCAACCCGATCACGTTTGTGATAATTTCAGACAAAACGTAAACAGCAAACTATGCTTATAACGAACACTCCACTAACGAACTGACATATATAAAGTCTGGGTTTGGTTTTGTCCAGGCCACATGCTTTATACTTAGTCGAAATGTGTAGCGAACAACGGTTATAACGAAATGTAATTAGTTGTCCCTTTGATTTCGTTATACATTAAAAAATAATCATAACAAATGTTAGTATGAAATTAATAATGCATATATACAGGACCACCAAAATCAAAAATGTATTCTCATTTTGCAATGCCTTGACTGCTGGGTTTTATCGGTGATGAGTGAGTGAGTTTGGATTTACGCCGCGTTTAGCACTATTAAGCAAATTATGGCTGGGACGCCAGAAATGGGCTTCACATATTGTATCCATGCAGGGAAGGGTTTATCGGACTATCTGGTATACTGTTTACGTCTTAGTTCAATCGGGCGTTTACTGCAACCACATGAACTCAAGTTATACATACTATAATCATATTTATTATTTTTGTTGATATTCCAGATTGGTGGAAGGTTCCCTACAATGGCATTATTCCTCTATATATATCGATGAAATCTCGTTGACTCAAACTTGTTAAACTCGACTTGTATACGAGACCAGTGAAAACGCCTCGTCTGTTTAATATTTTCATTTATGCACAATGATTCGGAATGACAAAAGCCCTGAGCAACATGCAGGATACGCTTACCTTTTCGTAGCATCACTATGTGATAGTGTTTCATAAACACCATGATGATAATACACTTTTCGAGAACACGACTCTGATTTTAGCGGATATGATATTACGAACATGGAAAGGGTTTCGTGGGTTTTTTTTGCTTTTATTCATACTACCTCTCCCATATGTAACCACTATTGTCTTCGATGCGGCAATGTACGATACCTCAAAACTACAAACGTTTACATACCGCCATTTACTTCTACAAACATTTTTTCTTTACCTTTACAAACTCACTGCGGCAATTCCACAAACATATCACTTTACCTTTACAAACGCAATGCGGCAATTCCACAAACATATAACTTTACCTTTACAAACGCACTGCGGCATTCCACAAACATATCACTTTACCTTTACAAACGCACTGCGGCATTCCACAAACATATCACTTTACCTTTACAAACGCACTGCAGCAATTCCACAAACATATCACTTTACCTTTACAAACGCGCACCGCGGCATTCCAATAAACATATCACTTTACCTTTACAAACGCACTGTGGCAATTCCACAAACATATCACTTTACCTTTACAAACGCACTGCGGCAATTCCACCAACATATCACTTTACCTTTACAAACGCACTGCGGCAATTCCACAAACATATCACTTTACCTTTACAAACGCACTGCACCAATTTCACAAACATATCACTTTACCTTTACAAACGCACTGCACCAATTCCACAAACATATCACTTTAACTTTACAAACGCACTGCAGCAATTCTAATTAAAAATAACTTGATTTCTACAAACGCAATGTGCCAATTCCACAAACATATTTCTTTACTTCTCCAAACGCACTGGGGCAATTCCGCAAACATATCACTTTACTTTTACAAACGCACTGCACCAATTCCACAAACATATATTCCTTACCTTTACAAACGCACTGCACCAATTCCACAAACATATTTTCTTTACCTTTACAAACGCACTGCACCAATTCCACAGACATATTTATTTACTTCTACAAACGCACTGCGGCAATTCTACAAACATATCACTTTACTTCTACAGTGGCACCGCCAAAATTTGTACTTGCTGGAATTTTCTCCTTTTTGATGTTCATGATAAGTAGATGCGGTTCCCCTTTGTTGTAAAAGACTTAAATGTTTGCTAATTTGTTCTTTGTTAATTACTTTCCTTATCTACTCTTTAATATTGGTGGGTTTAATCGCCCGGAATCGAACAATATATGAAACGCAATAAATGATGTCAGTCTAGATGGCCGAATAATGGACTGGGAGCAAGTACCTAACATAACACTGGGAGTTTCTTAGGAGATTAACATCATGTGTTGGCCAGAGGTTTCAAATGAGATATTCCCGTGTTTCAAATACTCAATAACACCCGGAAATTGGCCAACACATGATGTTTATCGACATTGTAAACACAAAAGTAAACCAAAAGGCCCACATGGCTTTACATCGAGTACGGGTACAGTAGTGAAGTGTCATCAGATGGCCGTTTCAGCTAGACAACAATACAATTGTGTGCGATATTTGTACGTGTCAATACGCAGTGAATAGTCTTGGAATTTCCGGAAATCGAATACGATTTGATCACGTTTTCAACCAATCAGATTAAAGAACACGGTGACTTTGGTTTAAAATTTCCATAACATCTCCCCAGATTTGCTTTAATTTCAAACATATTCAAAAGAAATTTGCTGTCTCAGTGAAGAGCAGCATGAAAGAACCAGTCAATTAGTACTTCATGTCAGTCTTCATATCTAACCTTTTCCTCTTCTCTGTAACGACGCGCTAACAAATTAAAGAAAGATGCATGATTGCACGCTGCAGGTGACTAAAGTCACCTTGCTCTAATATGGGGTCCCTTTAAGGTGTGCCATTCTGAGGCTGGAGGCCACAATTCATCTATTTCTCCTTCTTAGAAGAGTTCCAATCCATAAGGGAGGTAACCGCAAATGATTCCAAGGACAAACATTGCTTTGTGGGCTGCATTATCGCATTTCGCAGGCACTTTGATTTGAATTAATTCCCAAGGGTTGACGCGTATTTTCTGGCTCCAATCAAACATCTGACAAGCAAAGAAAATTTTATTGAATCTCCTTGGCGTAAACCACACTCTTCAGGGTTGTAAATCAGCATACCTCAATTTGTTACTGAATTGGCATTCCTAGCCATTTCCATACGATCGTAAAATGTTCCTATATCAACAATTAAATGTTTTTACACATAAACGGCCTTGAAGAATCACAGAAGTTACTCCATGCGATCTATCGTGGTAGTGGGCCGAGTGAATTGAAGCGAGCTCACAGGTCGTCGCTTGGCCATTCAGAACCCTCCCCTGCAGCTCGCTCCGACCGCTAACACGCACACACGGAATAAAGCGGTGAGCACCTCTTCAAGCGAAGTCTATCAAACCTGTTCCACGGTTATTTTATTACTCCTTTCTCAAATGAGCTCACAAATTCGGAGGAAAGGTCTCTTTCCCGCCAGTGCACTACTTTATTAGACAAAAAAGGTGCTTGTTTCGTTTTTACCTCCTTGAGATTAAAGGCAAATACGTCGATGTAAAATGACAGTAATTTGACAGAAAAATGAGAATGTTCGAATTCAATCAAACCTTTTTATGCATTTCTCCAGCGGGTCCTTGGGTAATGATGGCGTCTTTCTGTTGCAATGATTAATTGAAACAACCACTCGGTGTTTGAGTGCTTTTACGCTTTTACAATTCGTGTACTACCTATATATTTTTGTGGTTTCCAATTGATGAGAACAGATGATACCCTTGCTGTAGATATTGTATGGCTAGGAAAGACACTTCAATCAGAGACCTACAGAGAGTAGCATCGATGTCCAACACGATCATGCATTGGGAAGAATAGCAAAGCTTCCTGTCTCTGGAGGATAATTATGAAAATCGTATTTAAAAAATTCTATAGTCCATGTTTTATTCATCAGTCACTCACCACCTCCTGCCCTCCATTCAGTGTTCCGAGTGGAATCAGGACTGAAAAATGTCCCCAGAAACCTATGATTGTCATGAGAGATGTCTATTAATGGATGGAGGTCAAGCTCGGTAAATTGGGTGATTGTGTATCGTTTGTACTCAAGAGGATAACTCAATCACAGGATAGTCTGGTCCTGACTCGAGTACTTACTAACTGACTGAGTTTGGTTTTACGCCGCTTTTAGCAATATCACGGCGGGGAACACCAAAAATGGGCTTCACACATTGTACCCACACGATTACTTTGAGGCCCACGTCATATAGTGCAGCGTTGAACAATACACATTTATTTCAATGGCCATATGATAAGAAAAGGAGTAATTATAGCAATAAAGACATTGATGATAATATTCACTTAGTTGGTCGTGATAAGTCCTAAAATAGGTCGTAGCTGGGAACCCTGGGCAATGAGGGATCTTAACTTTACTGCTGGTCCTTTTGTAATGTAACAGAAAACTTGTCATCTTTGCTGCGAAAAATTACGGTATCATATATTTCAAAGTGTGTGACACTGAATCAAAAGGTAGACATCAGTCATTCTGCTCGGATTGGCAAAATCTAGACGAATGAAGTTGTTTGAGATATTAATTAAACTTCGTGTATGTCGATGATCAGATATCCTTTGGTAATGTTCAGTTACCAAATTGCTTTAAACTCCCCCCAAACGTTAGTGTCTACATTGGAAAACGGTTGAGCTACAGCCGAGCATGCATTTTCCGTGAAGACTTAAGGAGAGTCATATGACTGACTCTACCTCGAAGAGTTTTAGTTGAGCTTCGCGTTTCAGCATTGGTAGTAGTTACCAAAATACAAATACATGAAAACTCGTCTTTAAAATGGTGTCTTTGAAGAATCGGTAAGTGTGCATCTTCATCGAAGACATGGCATTATCGCGACACTTGTCTTGAATTAACTCGACGGTTCAAAGATTTCGGGATATCGAGAATTAACGAAAGTAACAGCGAATGAAAAAACCGGGACATTGTGAAATGTGGTTCAGTGGATAGCTATTTACAACGAAGGCCAAATTGGAACACTACGAAACTCTAAAACATCTCATATTTAAAAGTACGATCATCATTTTACTTCACGTCAGGCTAACACCACTGACTGAAAATGGGGTTCACTCTTTCAATTCACTGCAAAGAACAGAAGAGTACCGCTCCTGCCCTCAAGAACCAATACTCAATATAAATCAAACACATGGCATTCATGGCGTACCAATATTCAGATAATGAATATTAACCCGACCACAAAAAATTCTCATTTAGATAGTAGGTTTTTAAAGCCAATTTATCGGTCAGTGTTAATGTCCTATGAGAAGCTGAGTACGTCCAATCATCTCGCCCGTACATAGAACACCCGTCACTGCAGGGGCATTTGGGCACTCTTCTCTATTATTACCCGGCATCTTATGCCTCAGGACATTGAAGAAAATTACCTCTGTGCTGGAGAGTTCTAAATAAGCTTTACTTCCGGCTAAGCCAACAAACGACGACATAAAAAGCTATCTTAGTTATCGGAATTCGTTCTTTTATTACACAACTCTAGGTTTCCACGATAGTTACCTAGATGTTACATTTGGCGATCAATTTCGATCACTTTTTTCGATTCGGCACTGACGACCCAATATCTGTTTCAAACAGATAGGGTTATCTGCTGTGTCGTTTGATGTTCATTTTGCTTTGTTGCTTTTACAGTGCACAAAGTGAAAACGTGGAGTTCATTTCAGATATTGTATGTTTTGGAATCAATAGATGGAAACTGTGTGTTTCCATTGTCAAGTTGGTTTCTTTATCTTACAACGTACAAACTTGAACTCGGCTTCTGTCTTCCTGTGTCTTTTTGTGGTATTGATATCTGTCGAAGTATCAAAGCAATTTATTTACATACCGCAAGCAAATATTGAGTAGTTGCCATTTGAATGTAAACATTTAAACAGAAAATGAACTGTGTGTCTGTGATATTGCTTTGTTTATATATAGTATATACGAATTGACACTATGTTGCTATGATATTAAAGTGACTTTCGAGATTGGAAATTCAAATCCAAATTGGAGATCCAACTTTTTTGTATAAATGTCTGTACAGTTTGTGAATGTTCCCCTACAAATGATACTATTGCTGCATTGATTAACGCAGTATGAGTGAGTGAGTATGGTTTTACACCGCTTTTAGCAATATTCCAGCAACATCACGGCGGGGGACACTAGAAATGGGCTTCACACATTGTACCCATTTGGGGACTCGGACTTTGGTGTGACGAGTGAACGCTTTAACCAGTAGGCTACCTCACCGCCCCAGCTAATATAGGACAGAGTTGGCGTATCTCCTACACAGATACATATGTCATACAAGAGGATTCGAACCCGGGTCTTCGGCGTGACGAGCCAACGCTTTAACCACTAGGCTACCCCACCGCCCAATGCAGTATGAAGTCAGCACCAGAGAGACAGAGACCAGGGAACCGATCCGCAAAACGTTCGTAGCGCTACGACAAGCCTATAGTAAACTATAGAGTTACGACAAGTCGTAATGTTACGAACGCTTTGTTGATCGGGACCCAGACCTTTAGAGAAATATGTTTACATGAGAAATATGTTGTTATAAGAAAACTATGATGATGAATTTTTCCTGAGCGAAGCCCTACTGTCAAGTAGATTGACATTAGTCAACAGTTCATGTCCACGAAACGTTGTTCTGCCTCATAAAATAACAGACGTCTCTTTTTCGTTAAATGCTGCATTGTTCGTGTACATAATTGTAATGGCCAGTACTTTGTTCTATTTCTGTACATTTATTGTAGACGAAATTAGGTCTAGAGAGACGGTTGTAATACCCATTGATTTCCCGACTGACCAGATCAAAAACTGGTACATGATGACTTTTGTCATAAAATGCCTGCTAGTGCGGCCAATTATTTACAGGTCTTTCCAGAATAATGGTTGTGTACACGTATCACCCGGGGAACTAATGGGAAATGAAAAGTGTAAAAAGTTCATGTAAAAAGTAATATGTTTCTTAATGCAACTGTCAAAGGCAACACTATAGATGTCAATCAATGCAAATAAGGGCTTTTACCTCGTCATACAAACTGAAGAACGTATCACTGCCTAGCGTCAGAGTAGCCTTTTGTAGATAACAATGTAGTCTATTGAATGGCAATTCTCATGAAGTCCAGGAGGAGTAAACGAAACAAATTGACCAAACATCATTGAATGTATGCGTCCATTTGCCTCTACTTTCAGAAATATGAGGTGAGGTGAAATTGGGTTTAACGTCGTGCTTGAGAATATTTCGCTCATATGACGACGTGCATGCGTGTGTATGTATATGTGCGGCTGCTTGTACTAGCCCAGACTGAAGCTGGTTTTATGGTGCTAGCCCACTGAGATACCATGCCGCAGTGAAGCATGAATACCCCACTCAGAAACATTATACTGACTCCGAGCCGACCAGTACTTGTTGTACCCATTAATGCCGAGCACCAGACAGGGACCAACAAGTACCATATTTTAACGTCTTTTGGTATGACGCGGTCGGGGATCGAACCCGCGACCTTCCGCTTTCCGGGCAGACGCTCTAACCACTACACCACGGAGGCGGTCTCAGAAATATGAATAGTATTATATTACTTTAATTGGTATAAATAAATCTATAGATATTCCTATTCTGACTTTATTTTCACCATAATGTTGTGTAAACAGTTTGTTTTGCAAACAATTTACTTGCCCTTGTGTGCGTTTGTGACAGGTGCTTCCACAGGGGTAGGATACGCCTGGTATTACCACTATTTGATAATGATTCATAATCACACGCCCAGTATGAAGCCTGGCTCGTCCAACTGAATCTGCTTCTAGCAGATATTTCTTTTGTTTGCTATTTTAAGGGCTTTGCTGTTTTTATTGCTATTTCGCCTGGGATTCAAGACACCGGAAGCTTGTAGAACAGGTTTAGTGGATGTTTTGTCGCTTTTACTTACAAAATGTTTTGTTTTTCAGGACGAAAAGAATCAGATACTTACCACCAATTGCTGGCTGAACCAGGTGAGTCCGTGTATGCAGGTCATAAGAAGTAGGTATATTGTGTGGAGGAACTCCGTTTGTAAGTGTATTCATGTTGGAGGATGGCACCTTGTTGCAACATGTGTCCTTTCGAATGCAGAAATTATTATAGCTGGTATTATATGATGATATCGTTCAGCGACGGATGACAAGTTGGGATATATTAAGAAAGTATGATGGCATGACGTGAGTGAGTGGTGAGTGAGTTTAGTTTTACGCCGCACTCAGCAATATTCCACCTACATGGCATCGGTTTGTAAATAATCGAGTCTGGACCAGACAATACAGTGATCAGCAGCATGAACCTGAGCATTGACCTTCGCAGTTGGGATACGACCAAGTGTCGACCAAGTCAGCGAGCATGACAACCCGATCCCGTTAGTCGCCTCTTACGACAAGCATGGGTTACTGAAGACCAATATTCTAACCCGGATCCTCATGATCGTGACATGACGTATCTTATGAGGGGATAGTATATTCCATACCACCCAAAAGATGTTAAGTACCCCAAGTCATTCTTATAGTTTTTACTAGATCTTATATGTTCTCATGGAATAACTACAGTGATATGAACAACTCAAATGACCTTAAGAGAGTGAGATTCATACTGGATGTGTGGGAACGCGAAACATTTCGTGTGTATCCTAGTCCTTTCCGGATAAAACGGATTGTTGGGAATCTGTTTAGTTTAAACATATTTTATTCACAGTGTGAAAAGGATCGGGGACAAGTTCTTTCAACTTATTAAACCCCTCTCCAAGATATTTACAATAACTAATTACATCACAAGCAATTATTAGAAACAGAGACAGAGAAAGACTGAAAGATAACAGGGGGAAATGCTATAATACAAAGGTGTATAGACAGAAGACTACTGGAATCGTTTAGATTTGCATATATATTGATGTACATTTTTGAATATAATTTAATTTTTATGATTTGTCAGATCTGCAATGCCGTTTATAATAACAGATAATGTAATGGGAATGGGAATCTGTTGTAAAATATATCAGACGCATAAGGACAGACACATTTAAAACACAAATATTATTGATGTATGTCACAACGTAAAGAAGAAGTTGTCATCCATGACAATATGTTTGTTTTATTTGAACACCAACTTCTAAATGATCTCGCAAGAATCTCGACATGATACATTGTATTCGAACATACTAAATGAACTTCAGGCCCACGTGTTGAATATAAGTCATCATCAGAATATATGACATTGCAATACGATTTGAGAACACTTTTGCACAGTACAACTTAATACAACATGCCATCGCATTCAATTATACTACCTATTGCTCATACACAGTACTGTTGCGGAAAGTGATGGTCAGTATCTGACCTGAATACAGTGGCACAGTTTGTCATACTACGAAAACTGCTCAATCATGCGCCGATAGTTGTGATTGTCGAGGGAGTCGATTGAAATTGGTGCGTGTCATAGAGCACGAAGTAGTGAGTGAGTGAGTGAATATTGTTTTACGCCGCTTTTGCAATATTCCAGCAATATCACGGCGTGGGGACACTTTGTGGGGAATCGAACCCGGGTCTTTGGCGTGACGAGCCAATGCTTTAACCACTAGGCTACCCCACCGCCCAGAGTGAGAAGTAATACAATATACGAGTAATGCAATGTAGCATCACATAGTAATACCATGTAACAAAACGAAGTAATTTAATATAGCAGCACATAGTAACACGGCATTCGAGCACAGAGTAATACAATGTAACAGCACACAGAAATAATATAACAGCACATAGTAATACAATTAAACAGCATACAGTAATACAATGTAACAGCACATAGTAATACAATTAAACAGCACATAGTAATACAATGTAACAGCACATAGTAATACAATTAAACAGCACATAGTAATACAATGTAACAGCACATAGTAATACAATTAAACAGCAAATAGTAATACAATGTAACAGCACATAGTAATACAATTAAACAGCACATAGTAATACAATGTAACAGCACATAGTAATACAATGTAACATCACGCAAAAAAAATATAACAGCACATAGTAATACAATTAAACAGCATACAGTAATACAATGTAACAGCACATAGTAATACAATTAAACAGCACATAGTAATGCAATGTAACAGCACATAGTAATACAATGTAACATCACGCAAAAATAATTTAACAGCACATAGTAATACAATTAAACAGCACATAGTGATACAATGTAACAACACATAGTAATACAATGTAACATCACGCAAAAATAATATAACAGCACATAGTAAATACAATGTAACAGCACATAGTAATACAATGTAACAGCACATAGTAATACAATTAAACAGCACATAGTGATACATTGTAGCAACACAGTATTACTATCAAACATCGCATATTAAACAAATATATACTAGCACATAACGATACAACATCACATAGTAAAACAATATAAAATCACATAGTACAACAATGTTTTAGCACACGGTGATACAATTTAACAGCACATAATAAGATACATGTACCAATATAATATACTCAACAGCACCAAGTAATTCAATCTCACTTAACACTGGGTAACAGCATAAAGTACTGAAATCTCAAGTAACACAGTACAGCCAGTAAGTATGCTTTTCAGAATAGATTTGTTTGGCATCAAGCGCTATTACTAGAAGCCAGAATCACAGTGTATACACATACAGCGACCGGGAGCCAACCATACACATACTATACCCAATCTAAGCTTAAACTGCCTCATAAAATCAAGTCTATTGCCATGTAATACATATCATTGCATTCCATAACTTTTCAAGATTTTTTAGAAGTTTTCCAATAAATGCAAGTTTGAATATGGCTTTCCTGCACCTATGATTTGATTCACCACCACTTACACTTAATGTGGCAATTTCTTGAAGCGTTGAATGATTTGTCAGTGTACAAATGAACTTTTCACACAATCTACCTCATTACATTACATTACGGTTCATATTTACCCCTACAGACAAATCGTCGGTGTTGTAGCCACCCAAGGCTAAGTATGGCGGGAAGACGTTGCCATCCCACCCTGTCGTGTCTGGGAACAGTGGCGAGCAACGCAGATCTAGCCTTACCGGCATTTTTCTATTCACTTGATATCGCTCCAAATGTTATCTCGGCTAACAGGATAATATTGACCAAAACAGACAGTTAATTTGTCTGTTTATTCCCCTTCCACCACAGCCCCAGGCATACGTTTTGAAATTTGGGTGATCGTGCACGTGCCAAAAGTTGACGTTGCAATTGACTTCAATTGTGCACATGATTACTGAAATCAAAAAGTCAAACAGAATTGCAAAAACGTGTCTTCGTTGTCAAAGAACTTCACAAAGTTGGCTAAATTCAGCAAGAAACCTTGGTTATTTTCTTCAGGCGGTATCAGAGCAGCATTAATTCTCTGGCATATATTGCCACCAATAATGATATCATTCCATCTCCTCTGACATAGGATCGAAACTCCTAAAGTGAAAGGACAAAACAGTGTTATTTTGATTAGTCTGGGTGAAGCGGACCATTCTAATGATGTTTCTCCGACCAAGGATGTGGATCAACGCTTACCAGTTAGAAGACACACCTTCGTGCAAGAATTTGTAATAAAGTTATGAAGCATGTTTGTTTGCATCATTACAGGGCTAACCAAATTGTATTCTTGCTTTGATCTTGGCTGCCGTTATGTTTAATCAGTCAGTTGATTTGCAGAAATGCTTTAAGAGATTTTCAGTCAGAAAAAATAAGTTAACCCGATAAGACGTAAAACACTGGCTACGTGTTGATCCTTACCGCAGAAGATGACAAATACTTCACGTTGACTGGGCTCTGTCTACAAATTAGCTACGTCCCTTTGCTTTATGTCCGCAGACACGGTGTAGGCTTAACTGTGCTCAAGTTTACGCTTATATTGTCACGGGTTACCGTGAAACACTTTGGGAAGAGTTTGTATTTTTTACTTTGAAGCTTTCACTGTGAAATTATAAAAGAAACATTTTTGTAGAAAAGTTTGTAAAATATTTTATTGTTGTGTGAAGTACCTGTTGGCGCCTAGGGGACTCTACATACCATCACAGGGCGCTGGAGTAGCCTAGTCGTTAAAGCGTTCGCTAATCAATGTGTGTATCCCATTTCTGGAGTTCCCGCCGCGATATTGCTGGAATATTGCTAAAAGCGGCGAAAAACCATACTCACTCACTCACTACATCCGATCAAAATACACATTCACACACGCGCACCCAAGCGCGCACACACTCAAACGTAAATACACATAACACCCATTTACACATTCTCAAACATTGGCACAAATACACACACACACACACACACACACGCACGGACGCTCCACTTAATACCAGCAGCTCAACAACACAATGAACACATCACAGAGAGTGTGACACACAGAGACGCATACACAGACAAAGTCGCACAGAAACACAAGTGTACAAACACACAAACACGAGCAGCTCAGAAGCACATAGAGTGAGTTTAGTCTTACGCCGGTTTTAGCAATATTCCAGCAATAGCACGGCGGGGGACACCAGAAATAGGTTTCACATATAGAAGCACATTGAACATAGGCACAGGTAGAGAAAGTGACACACGGAGACGCACACATAGACAAAGACACACATAAACACAAGACACACATCCACGTACGTGTACGGACACACGAACACCGTCAGGTTAGTAACAAATTCCACACACACACACACACACACATTGAACACAAGACACACATTGAACACAAGACACACATGCACGTACGTGTACGGACACACGAACACCGTCAGGGTAGAAACACATTCCACACACACACACACACACACGCACGCACGCACATTGAACACAGACACACATTGAACACATAGCGGGTATAACGTCTTTCTTTGTACAGCTAATTAGAATTATGTATCCTGAATAAAGGGCATATTGCGATGAAGAATTACACATTTGTTGCCACACAGGTGTTGTCCGCTTGTTGACGTCTATGTATTTTAACCATTCCGGTTGATGTTTCAGATGTGGTTGGATTACGGTTTGAGGTGGGACCCTGACAAGTATGGCGGCATCAAGGTGATCCGTCTCCCTCACGACTCCGTGTGGCGGCCAGACGTACTGCTTTACAACAAGTACGTCTTCAAGTTTGTTGTTTCTTTCTTTGTTGTTTTACGCCGTACTCAGCACTATTCAAGCTATATCTCGTCGGTCTGTAAATAATCGAGTCTGGGCCAGACAATCCAGTGATCAACATCATGAGCATCGATCTACGCAATTGGGATACGATCAATATGTGTCAACCAAGTCAGCGAGCTTGACCACCTGATCCCGTTAGTCGCCTCTTACGACAAGCATGGGTTACTGAAGACCAATTCTTACCTGGATCTTCAGGGTCCTGAAACCGCTAGTTGAGATTTTCCGTCACATGTTTCCATTACGTAGCGCAAAAGCCCGAACTGAAGCAAGTCTAGATTTTTGTCACTTTCAGAGACGTCTCAATTGCACACTTTTTCAATTTATATAGCGTAATTTGTTCCTAAGTTTCCTTTGTTTCATAGTTTCATAGAGTAAGCGTTAGGAGCCAACAATGTCATATTGTGGTTTTGTGTAAGTAGAACAATATTTTTTTCGATGGAAAACTTGACAGGATAAATTGTTTTGAAAACATTATTTATTACTTTTCTCTTTTTCTGTTCGGTGACCGAAAAGATATGTTCTGTTTATGATGAAAATGTCCGCCCCCATCCCCCCAAAATATTACCATACTAAATCTCTCCGCATTAGCGATGCATGTCAGTATAAAGAAACAGTATCGTGACCTTCACCTTGACCTTATTTACCTTCACCTTGCAGCGCCGACGTCTCGTCATTCTTCTCCTCAATAAGCTCCAACGTGATCGTCAACAACGAAGGCAACGTCACGTGGTTGTCAATGGTGATCTTCAAAAGTTCGTGTTCCATCAACGTCCGATATTTTCCATTCGACGAACAGAATTGTTCCTTGTTGTTTTCTTCGTGGACCTACGACGGTTTACAACTTGACCTCGTCATGAACTCTCCACATGGCGACACGTCAAACTATATCCACAACAGCGAATGGCTACTGGTCAAACTACTGGTCAAACGCAACGTGCAGTACTATTCCTGTTGTGACGAACCGTACCCGGATATAACGTACTATATTCACATCAGGCGACGTCCGTTGTTCTATATATTCAACATGATATTACCGTGTATATTGATAACGTTGGTGGCGTTGTTAGGGTTCTATATACCCTCAGACTCAGGAGAGAAGGTGACGATGGGGATTACGACGTTGCTGTCGATGACGGTGTTCATGATGTTGGTGACGGAGAATATGCCCCCGACGTCGGATGTGCTACCTCTCATAGGTAAGTTATGGTCCTTTCTATGTGACGGTGCCGCCAGTGGGACAGGATACGCTCACCTATTCCGGAACAACTCATTATTATGAGTCATTATTCGATAGTGATTCTTAAATATACTCATGCCAATAATGGTTGTCACCCCCTTCAATTTTTTAATTGGAGAGGGGGTGTCGGGTGTTGGTGTGAGGTGTCTGTAGGGTTGGGGTGGGGAGGGGGGTGACAACCACTATTGGCATGAGTATACATGCGGAATTATATTTGCTATACGATATTTAATAATTAGATTTACAATGATTGTAGAAAGGGATTTGTTTATTTACGATAAACGTCTGATGTGCAACCTCTTATAGATACGTCATGACACTAAAAGTTTCTTTACGATAGGGGCGGTGGGGTAGCCTAGTGGTTAAAGCGTCCCCTCGTTACGCTGAAGACCCGGGTTCGACTTCCCACACGGGTACAATGCGTGAAGCCCATTTCTGGTGTTCCCCGCCGTGATATTGCTGGAATATTGCTACAAATGCGTAAATTCATATTCACCTACTAACTTGCGAGCTAGCGAGCTACCTCTGATGATGTATTACATACTACTCAAAAATCGCACGGATCTACTGGTTGTTTCATTGTAGTGTAACTGATGTGACCGATTAACATCGTGATATGAAGGAATCGAGTGAGTGATCTGACTATTCCATATGCGTCATATAAGCATCTGATTATTTAATTTGTAATCAAACCGAATGGTATTCTTTTAACAGGCCTGTTGACTTTAGAATCAGTTGCTATATGTGCCTTGTTATATTGTAGTAAGTTCATAAGCGTTATGAGATATTCAGCTATCAATAGTCATAATTATGGTGAACGTAATTGAACCCTTGTTACCGTGTACTTTGTTTGCCATATCGTTTCAGACCCAACAAAACTACGGTTTATGTTAAGTGTTAAAGGGTCTTCCAGTCTCTGGTTATCGCTCGATGGCTTTCTTGAAGATTTTCTTGCACAATAAATGCCATAGTTTAGTGTATATTCGCAATACTTAGCCGGACTGAATACCACATTGTATAATGTTTACATCAGTAAGGTTTGAACATGTAACGTCAGTACAATATAATATTTAGCCTGGACCAACATCTGAAAAAGATTCCACTTGATGCAAAGCGCGAATAGCTGTGGAACTTGTAAGAATGGATCACTGACGATCGGTCTTGACACCGGGTGTTCGCATACAGCATGGCCAGTCCTAGTCATTCACGCAATTTAAAAAGTAACTTTATTACCTGATGCTGCACAACTCTGCTATAAAAAGGAGGCCTGTAAATACACCAGAATAAGGAGTGAGTGAGTGAGTTTAGTTTTACGCCGCACTCAGCAATATTCCAGCAATATTGCGGACCAGACTAAGGAGGTACCAATAAACAAATACATCCAGTGACACGTTTCGTATTGCTGCTGAAATAGTGCTAAACTGCGTAAACCTTCTCTCCTGCTGTGGGAAAAATTAGGGTGGTTGTTTCTCGTAAATATGTGAATGAGTGAGTGAGTTTGGTTTTACGCCGCTTTTAGCAATATTCCAGCAATATCATGACGGTGGACACCAGAAATGGGCTTCACACATTGTACCCAAGTGGGAATCGAACCCTGCCTTCTGTGTGACGAGCAGACGCTTTAACCACGAGGCTACCCTAATGCCCAACGAAAACATGGGGCGCTTCCCTCTGGATCTGACACAAGTAACGCGTAGTGATAGACCATCTGGTAATGTTCAGCACTAGGATTGGGATTGAAATCATAGTAAGATATTGTTATGTCAACTTACAAAGTGATTACATCGCTTGTCCGTTAGTGTGGTAGATTCCGTTCAGATAGTGTTGCGTCTGGGGATCAAATGGAGCACTATCAGGTTCAACGGAATCTTTATTCGAAGTCATCTGTTTATCAAGGATGGGTTTTGATATAATAAGCACGGACACTTGTTCAACTCAATCAGTTGGTTACGGTACTTCTAATGCTAATTGTGGGACGATGTGTGAGTATTGGTATATCTAGATATCTCGTGTATGAACTCTCTAAGTTTTTGTAATGTTTTGTTTTTTGGGTTTTTTTGTTGTTGTTTTTGGTTTTTTTGGTGTGTTGTTTCAAAACACAGAAACTTGCGTCCTTTTAAGGACATGTTAAGTTTACAAATGTATATCACGTCAGCATACGTCACAATAACCTTATTCTTCATTTTAAAACACTTTTTGGTTTGGAGCCGTGAATATTCGGGCTAGAATTGGTCTTCATCAACCCATGCTTGTCGGAAGAGGCGTCTAACGGGATCGAGTACGATCAGACACGCTGACTTTGTTGACATGTCATCGTTTCCTAATTACGTAGATCTCTGCTCATGATGTTGATTGTCTTGTCCAGACTCGATTATATACAGACCTCGATTATTTATTGCTGGAATATTGCTGAGTGCGGCGTTAAGCAACAAACAAACAAAAGGTTTCGGTGTGAAGTGTTGTCTACATTAGTCCAATGTCTGGCCGGGACGGTGGGGTAGCCTAGTGGTTAAAGCGTTGGCTCGTCACGCCGAAGATACTGGTTCGAATCCCCACATGGGTACAATGTGTGAAGCCCATTTCTGGTGTCCCCCGCCGTGATATTGCTGGAATATTGCTAAAAGCGGCGTAAAACTAAACTCACTCACTCACTCACCCCATGTCTGGCCACTCTTTGTCAGCAACGCCAGTACAGAGTTTCTTACCTTCATCCCTTAATGGGATTCGTCTTGACGGTAAATGAAACGAAAGGTTTTCCCATATGTTTCTACAGTAATGGTATATTTTTTTACGAAACATCTAGGCATTAAAAAGCTCAAACATGTTCATGTGTGCACAGTCTGGCCTTAAAGCAGCAGTAATAACCAAACATGTGGCTTGTTTTGCAAGTTCCTCTTTCCTTGACCGAGGCGAACTACACCCACGCTTTCGCACCAAATGTCACCTACTTCATAATATCTAATGTCACATTCGGCCTACATCAGCTTGTTAAAATAGCAGTGATAATTGAGAGGTGATCAGTTTCAATTACTTGATGGATATACAGATGTCTTAATCCGCGCTGACGGTTCTCCACAAGGGCGGTTGTGTGGACAACTCATTTTGGCTTGTAGTAGGACAGTCATAATGGTCCTCCACTGTGTCAGTGATCCTCTTTTGGCTAGCATTTAACGTCAATTGGAATATGGTTCCATGGATAATGGAGGCTGGTTATTGTCTGGCGTTGACGTTTATGTTAACATTGTCTTTCCCTTAACACCATTCTGTCACTCTGTATTGGCGGTGGGGTAGCTCAGTGGTTAAAGCGTTAGCTCGTCACGACGAAAACCCGGGTTCGATTTCCTACCTGTGTACAATGTGTGAAGCCCATTTCTGGTGCCCCCCGCCGTAATATTGCTGGAATATTGCTAAAAGCGGCGTAGAACCATACTCACTCACTGTCACTCTATACACAATAGGACCACCGCCATATAGCTGGGAAAACTAAACTCACTCAGTCACTATACTCAATAGCTGGAACGCTCAACAATGCTAACTAAGCGAAAAAGCATTCATATACTTTTACTTTGCTAAACACCACAGTGAAGACTGTAGCTACCACAATGACAATAGGGGCGGTGGGGTAGCCTAATGGTTAAAGCGTTCGCTCGTCACGCCGACCCGGGTTCGATTCCTCGACATGGGTACAATGTATGAAGCCCATTTCCGGTGTCCCCCGCCGTGATATTGCTGGAATATTGCTAAAAGCGGCGTAAAACCAAAACTCACTCACTCACAATGACAATAGGATGTTTTGGACTAGGCAAACCAGTAGATCCAAACACGAACCATATATCGGGGCACACGAAAAGACTTGGTCAGAGAGACATATCAATCGACTTCAGGCCATGGTGCTCAGAAAGTATAGTTGCTAGATCTACTCTGGCCGTGTTCCAAATTTTTTTCTAGTTAACGTCTATTGGCTTGACGGATCTGACGCCAAGATCCACATACCACCTCTTTCTCCTACGAACGTTTGTTACAGTTCGCAGGTTCCAAATCCGATCTCTCAATATCTGAATTGTTAGAGTTAGAGAAAGCCATCGTGTGATATCACTGACTGACTGAGTTTTGGTTTTACGCCGCTTTTAGCAATATTCCAGCAACATCACGCCGGGGGACACCAGAAATGGGCTTCACACATTGTACGCATGTGGGGATTCGAACCCAGGTCTTCGGCGTGACGAGCCAACGCTTTAACCACCAGGCTACCCCACCGCCCCGTGTGATATCAAAAGATTGGAAGAACGTCTATAATATGTGAATATAATAGCTAAAAATCGACTTATTTTCGTTTTTCACTAGTGATATGATACAGTAACAGGTGTAGAAATATTAAAACCCCGTTCGGGAAATAGTGCCGAAACTTTTACTACTGGATTACTGATGAACAGTGATGACACCAGGTGTTCGTTTGTGCTAAAATTAGTAAACTTAGCAAATGCAAGCCTCCTTTGCGACCCCCTCAGCGCTTGGAAGAGCCATCTATGATTATCTTAGTTACTACATGTACCCGGTCGCTCACTCTTGCCAGAAAAGGGGCGGTGGGGTAGCCTAGTGGTTAAGGCGTTGGTCGTCACGCCGAAGACCCGGGTTCGATTCCCCACATGGGCACAATGTGTCAAGCCCATTTCTGGTGTTCCCCGTCGTGATATTGCTGGGATATTGCTGAAAGCGGCGTAAAACCATACTCACTCACTCTTGCCAGAAAAGCTAGTAAGGTTGTCAGCCTCCTCAAACAGATATGTTATGTCACATGAAATAGTGATCAGTGTGAGGGTTGCTAACACTATGTTGTAATCCGGTCTTTTGAGAAGTAATTCTGTCAAAGGAATAGTTAACATGCTTTTCTGCTTAAGTCCCTAAAACTCCTTGAATTGATAATACAAAACATTCCAGATAAAAATACCAGCAATCGGACAATTGAAACGAATTTAAAACAGAAGCAGAATCAAACGAAGATTTGTTTTATCGACGTAGCTTCTCTTGCTGAGTGTGATATCGGTTTTACATTTGATAAACTAGGCTCGGAAGACTGGAGCTATCGAAGCTTTGTTGGATCCAACGGTAATCAAGGGGATCATTAAATATGAGTTTCAAAGTAATGCTAGCACACGATATTGCGATGTAAAACTGAACAAATCAATACCTGTTAGTATGCCAAGTAATTATGGTCGGTATCAGAGGTCAATGTCATTTGCCATTTTGTAGTCGGATTCATCTAATTCGTTTTAATTATTAAGATCGCGTTCGAACGAAATAACGTGTTTTTGGAGACATCGACCACGTTTGATGAAACATAATATTATTTCCAGGAGCAATAATTACGCATGTTCAAATAATTGAATTGTTCTGAAACGTTGTTTGGTTTTGAGGATTTTCAGCATGGCGACCTTGATCTTCTCATCTCGTCCATCTTTCGATTCAAAAAGGATTCTCTATTGGGACTGCATGTGGCCCAGTCACGTAGGCAACACCATTATTTGTAACGTGTGTTCATTTGGCGTGCATTGATCATGTATTAGTGGTTTGGTTCTAATTAACGGACTTGGTCTGCCTGCACCAGACCCCTAATACTGGTTTCATCAAACTATGAACATTCTTTGACCTTCAGTAGTTCAAACTGTTTACAAACATCAATCAGTCATGACTTGACAACCAAAAGAAAGTATAATCGTGAACATGGGGTCTGATGAAACAATTTACAAACTTTAAAACGGTGAAAACAGTCACCGAACACGGTAAATACATCTATAATACCCGTAAATGCATCAGCCCATTTCCTGAGGTTATTCGTCATGCTACTGCTCTCTCTCATTGTTTGATCAAGGTTACAACATTCAGGGCAGTTCCCTGATTTGACTTGAACCATCACGAGCTTTAGGTGAACAAATTACTAGCCTTTGCATGTGCTTAGACGGTGGCAACGGTGTGGCAGGATATGCTAACCGTTATACGTATATCATTACTATTTTAGTAGGGACTCTGTGAACATGGTCGGAATGATGATATGGTCGGAATTGTACTATTTCCTGGATGTGGAAAGGGTTTTCTTCGTTATCATTGTCTGTTTCACTTTTAAACATCATCAAGCACGAGATATATTTTATGTTGCCAGACAGTATATCTGAAATACTGTTCTCATCGTCGTACCATCAACTCACTTACCATCCACCCAAGATCACATTATGGCTAATACGGACACTTTGTTGCAGGTATCTACTACGGTATGACGATATTTATCGTTTCCTTCGCAACGGGCATGACAGTGTTCACCCTGAACATTCACCACAAGGGCACCAGGGGACGAGAAGTACCCAGCGTCATCAGGAAGATCGCCTTCAGCTGTCTGGCGAAGATGTTCTGCATCAAAGTACAGAATTCAAAAGCCCCTGCATCAACGGCAGTGGTAAGTTGACAAGACCATATCCAACTGTCAGTTGTCTCGAAGCGTCGACTTTGGGCATTCCCGAGGCATTGTGGGAAAACGTATTCTACTTTCGAAGTTCCCATTCATGTGATCATAATGTGGGATACCTTTGTATCGAGTTATATGTTGTTCGAGAGAACAGAATACCGACCACAATGCTGCGGATACGGTTGTTTTAAAGGCAGAGTACTACAGTGGGACCGCGTGTAAAATCAATATAAGAAGACACCCACGTTTTAAATAAGATAGGAGATAGTGCAAAGCTAGAGTCGCATGTCGTGTAAACCTGCAATGCTAGGCCTGAATTACGAGTTCGGTTGCAACCCTTAGTTGAGGCTTTGGATCGAAAACCAAAAGATTTGATTACGTGTTTAATTATTTACATTGAATTATGGTGTAGATTGAATACCTGTAGAATTCATATGTGACTGCAACCTAGGCAGTGAAGTTTTTGATTGCCTGCAACCTACGCAGTGAATTTCTTGATTGACTGCAACCTAGACAGTGAATTGTTTTATTGACTGCAACCTAGGCAGTGAATTTCTTGATTGCTTGCAACCTAGACAGTGAATTTCTTGATTGACTGCGACCTAGACAGTGAATTTCTTGATTGACTGCAACCTAAGCAGTGAATTTCTTGATTGACTGCAACCTAGACAGAGAATTTCTTGATAGACTGCAACCTAGGCAGTGAATTTCTTGATTGACTGCAACCTAGACAGTGAATTTCTTGATTGACTGCAACCTAGGCAGTGAATTTCTTGATTGACTGCAACCTAGACAGTGAATTTCTTGATTGCCTGCAACCTAGACAGTGAATTTCTTGATTGCCTGCAACCTAGGCAGTGAATTTCTTGATTGACTGCAACCTAGGCAGTGAATTTCTTGATTGCCTGCAACCTAGGCAGTGAATTTCTTGATTGACTGCAACCTGAACAGTGAATTTCTTGATTGACTGCAACCTAGACAGTGAATTTCTTGATTGCCTGCAACCTAGACAGTGAATTTCTTGATTGCCTGCAACCTAGGCAGTGAATTTCTTGATTGACTGCAACCTAGGCAGTGAATTTCTTGATTGCCTGCAACCTTGGCAGTGAATTTCTTGATTGACTGCAACCTAGACAGTGAATTTCTTGATTGACTGCAACCTAGACAGTGAATTTCTTGATTGACTGCAACCTAGGCAGTGAATTTCTTGATTGACTGCAACCTTGACAGTGAATTTCTTGATTGACTGCAACCTAGGCAGTGAATTTCTTGATTGACTGCAACCTTGGCAGTGAATTTCTTGATTGACTGCAACCTAGACAGTGAATTTCTTGATTGACTGCAACCTAGGCAGTGAATTTCTTGATTGACTGCAACCTAGACAGTGAATTTCTTGATTGACTGCAACCTTGGCAGTGAATTTCTTGATTGCTTGCAACCTAGGCAGTGAAATTCTTGATTGCCTGCAACCATGGTCATGAATTTCGTGTTTGACTGCTACCATGGTAATTAATTTCGTTTTGACTGCAACCATGGTGATTAATTTCGTGTTTGACTGCAATTCTGGTGATTAATTTCGTGTTTGACTGCAACGCTGGTATTGAATTACTTGCAATGTGATATTATACGACGATGGAGTTATGACCAATCCTTGATAGTATGGCAACAGCACACTAAAAACTGAATCTTTTATTAGCTCCTGACAAACACTAAAATACAAAGCCAACTATGCCATATTGCAAGCCCAACTTGGACTGAACTACTGCTGATAGTGACAGACGTCCTGATCAATAGTACGTTAATCAGTTTGCTCAATCCTTCACCCCCTCAAAACACAACCCCACCCTCCCATTGTTTAATGTGTCAACGCTGTGACCCCACTGCCTCGACGTCAATCAGACTCCATTACCTAATGTTTCAGTTCACACCAGATTGCAATGGAACGACCGGAAGTAGTTCCTACATCCGGTTTAAAATGGCGCCTCAAAGCGACCCGGAGAGTGCCCCATCAAAGCCAGTTGTAGTAAGTTTCCTGTTGGGTGGGATTTATGTATATTTTGAGGGTAGTAAATCAAGTCGCAATCTCGTCAGTTACAGCGAAGTTAACGATTGGTACTGGCATCTTCATTAAGAGAAATTAGACTTGAGCTCTTAATCAGCTGCCGCATTACTCGTGATGTTAAATCATCTATTAACAATGATTGATTATTCGCTGTAATCAATTAAATTATTATTTAATTCAAATGTAATTTTCCCCCGAAAAAAGTACTGTGTTTGGTAAGTCATATCATTTTCGATACTGTTAGCTGCATTAGAGTGAAATTCCGTTCATCCGGAGGTGAGGATTCTCACTTATGTCGAAGAGAGTAGGACATTTCTTGAAGCCTGAATCAGGCTTAAAGTGTGATGTGTTTCCCCGAATAAAAGTACTGTGTTTGGTAAGTCATATCATTTTCGATACTGTTAGCTGCATTAGAGTTAGACCCCGTTTGTCCAGACGGGAGTATTCTCACTAATGTCGAAGAGAGTAGCACATTTCTTGAAGCCTGAATCAGGCTTAAAGTGTGATGTGTTTCTATACACGAAAACGTCCCCAGTTACCGCCAGATAGATTAGATGTCCAGATTAAGGGTGTCAGGATTAAAGGTTTCCCCATTAACGAGGTTTCAGTATAGCTGTCTCGGCTATGCGGTAGCCTGGTAGGTCGTGATGTCGCCCATAACACACACGATCCGGTTCGATTCCCGTACGACGTACTGTAGAATGTTATTACAAGCCGAGTAAAACCCATGCAGTCACTCACTCGCCCATTTTTCATGGGGACCCCGGAGATGATGTGACATCTATGGCGTAAACAGCAAATCGCCAACATCTTTAGTATCGACCCGTGAAGATCCGGGGTAGAATAGGTCTTCAGCAACCCATGCTTGCCACAAAAGGCGACTATGCTTGTCGTAAGAGGCGACTAACGGGATCGGGTGGTCAGGCTTGCTGACTTGGTTGACATATGTCATCGGTTCCCAATTGCGCAGATCGATGCTCATGCTGTTGATCACTGGATTGTCTGGTCCAGACTCGATTATTTACAGACCGCCGCCATATAGCTGGAATATTGCTGAGTGCGGCGTAAAACTCAACTCACTCACTCACTCATCTTTAGTATCGATACTGACTTGAAATTCGTGTGAGTAAGGAATCATTTAGATCTCAGATCATACATCCCACATTGCACGCTATTTCCGTAACAAAGTATTATCCAAAGTATGTTTAGGTCAGTCAGTGAGCATTGCTTTTGTTTTTCTGCAGGATTTCAAATCGGCTGCCCCCGAGGTCCCTCCCTACAATAGGCATGGTGGATGTTAAGCTGGAGGACCCCTTGTCTACAAACGGCGGACTCGGTACACATCTTTCCCATCGCTTCCGGTCTGGACAAGCCGGAAGTAGTGCAGTGGTGGAGAACTTTGAGCAACAATTCATGCGGGTTCTACAAAAAGTATATCAGACAATTGAACAAAACGAAATACGATTAGCGGACCAGGACAGACGGGAAGCTATCAAAATAGAATGGCAGCAGGTTGCACAGATAGTGGATAGAATGCTGTTGTCAGGATTTGTGGCCCTCACGATGGTTATAACAGGCGTTGTACTGCTCGGAGCACCGGCATCTGTCAGCAGCCTGACGTCATAATGTGTGATACGGAATTACGGGAAGAAGTTGGGACGAAGAACCAAAATGTTGGTCACTACCAGATGCCGCCATGTTGGTGTTTTCAAGGAACAGGAAGGATTATCACTACAATACATTTGACATAAAGTGCCAAGATTGCAGATATCTCTGGAGGGTTGGAGGAGTTTTATTGCAATCTACTTTGTTCCAGTTGGTAAATGAGTACCTATGTATGAAAGAAATTTTGGCGGCAACAAATAGTTGTCCAGTGCGGTCACCACAGTTATAATGTTTGTGTCACTGCTACAGCCGTTTCCGATTTATTGTCTGATTCAGTGTGCTATCTGTGGTAGCAGGTTGGCGGTAGGAGGTTGGCGGTATCAGAGATGCGAAACGATAACAATTATCCAAATTTATTTTATCACGTCAATTCATCTGTCTGACTGTTTCGATGAATACGTTGGAATACCATATGGTGTGATTACATACGACGTTCTATTCAGGAGAGTCAGCTATGGTTGCTGTGTAATATGCAAATGTTATCGAAAAGTATGGTGGCGTAACTTCCGTCACTATGGTGACCTTCACCTTTACCCATCATTTCTCAAGTTCACAGAATGTATCGAATACACGTATACAGTTAATGACGAGAGTTCATATCTAAGATGTGACCCATTGTGATGCTTGGTGTGTCAGCACTCTCTTTATTTCTGCGTTCTCAATTATTGTATATGTTTACGGCCACAGTCCCATATAAGGGTGAAGGTCAAGGTCAGTAGAATAACATGTGACCGGAGCTTAAGGTGTATCAGACATCAACAGCTTGTGACAGATGAACCGAAAGCGCTGGCGCTTTTACTATACTTATATCCTTCATGGTGGTCGGAACACGTGACACTATATGTTTGACGAGGTGGAATTATTTGTTTGACAAAGAGAAGCTATATGTTTGACATTAGATATTTGCAGGGCGACACTACATGTGCATGTACCCGTTTGACGTGGCAGGATGTGTGACATGGCAGAATGTTTGACCAGTTGTCATAAAATGTTTTGCAGGATGACACGTTGCATCAAAGCACGTACTACCAGACCAAACATGTTACTCACAAAGTGTTTGACCAGCTGACGCTACATGTCTGACAGAGGGACACTACATCTATATGTCTGACGCTACATGTACATGTTTTAGAAGGAGAAGGTACATCAGATGTTTGACAGAGGGACACTACATCTATATGCCTGACGCTACATGTACATGTTTTAGAAGGAGAAGGTACATCTGATGTTTGACAGAGGGACACCACATCTATATGTCTGACGCTACATGTACATGTTTTAGAAGGAGAAGGTACATCAGATGTTTGATAGGTACATGTTTGACCGGGTGACACTACACATACCAGTTTCAGCGTGTGACGTTAGTTGTTTGACCGAATGACATCAAGGTTCATGTTTTAGAAGGAGAAGCGACATGTTTGACTAATTGGCAGTACATGCCTGTACGGGTACAGGCTCATTGACAGCATGTTTGACTAATTGGCAGTACATGCCTGTACGGGTACAGGCTCATTGACAGCATGTTTGACTAATTGGCAGTACATGCCTGTACAGGTACAGGCTCATTGACAGCATGTTTGACTAATTGAGCAGTACATGCCTGTACGGGTACAGGCTCAGTGACAGCATGTTTGACTAATTGGCAGTACATGCCTGTACAGGTACAGGCTCATTGACAGCATGTTTGACTGGTTCACATCACATGTAAATGTTTGACGAGCGGTGCTATATGTTTGACCGGGTGACGCTACACTTACCAGTTTCAAATGTTTGACCGAGTGACACAACATGAATTTGTTTGATCAGATAAGGCTACGTATTTGTCCAGTAGCGTCACCCTGACCAAGGGGTGTGTCGATGCTCTTGTCTTCAGCCTAGCAGTCCCTCTTGTACGTGTGAGTGACGGACGTCATGGAGTAGTAACAGTGGATATGAAAGTCTGCACACAAGTTTGTTGTTTTCATGGAGAAGAAGTTTTCATGATTAGACGTGAATGAATTTGTGCAAATAGTAACTTGGTAACATATACCAGCTGAAGATTCCTATTTTGGGATATGGCTGAAGAAACAAGGGTGATTCCTGCCCGTGGAAACCGATATGTGTTGAGATTTTTCAAATCATGAACTGAAAATTCAGCAAACATCTTTTACCTACGGCGACGGAAATGTACTGTGAAACCTTGCGTATCTGGACTGCACCGTTCCAAGTGATATCATCCGGATTAATACACATCAGGATAAGCGAAACCTTGGCACGTGATTACTCATTATTTTATTGACTACGTCCCTGTCAGAAATGATCCGGTAAAGAGGGTGTCCAGATTATTGAGGTTTTGCTGTGTGCAAGTGATTTCACTGTACTCCTTGTGTTCCAGGTAGTACACATTGTCCGAATGAGTTTCATGAACTAGGGGTATCACATGAAGCAAACATGAAGCTTATATGAAGAATGTCAACGTATTCAGAACATTGCAGTATTGTTTAATTACAAAAAAACTAAATTAATCGAATCTGTGGTAAGACCAGTTTTTAAAATTTTCTTATTTTGATGGCCCTTTCAAAAGTGACATGGAAGGATCCGAGGATCTTCAAAGAGTGTTTACATCTTTTGTAGGTTGCATATTTGTGGGATATTTTATTCTTGTGTACTACTGATCTCATTCCTCATCCTCTCAGGCTCGATATACGAAGATATGGAACTGCAAATCTAACACAATGGTATGAAGTGTTTTAAAAGGAATGTGGTGAAAATATGAAATTTGAATTAAAGGATTCTCTTAACGTGCTTGAAGAAATATACGATGTTGTTCAGGCATCTTACAGATCCCAGAACTACAATTTTATGACACACCCACATTCCATGCTCATTATATTGTGGCCCCAGTAGCCTATTCGCATCCACTTTCGTTTATTTTCGATGACGCCAATTATTTAAAACTGTTCATAAATATACACATTCAATGCTAGAGAATAACTTGTCTTATGACAGATTCCACGAGAAAAAGTCAAAATAGCGAAATCGTAATAAATAACATGATTTTGAGGACTATGTGTGTCAGGATAGCACAAGCACGACTCTAGATCGTGAAAAACAATGTATACTTCAACAAGCCAAATTTTAATTCCTAAGAGATGTCGAAATGAATTCATGAATATGTTAATTCAGATCATTATTAAAATTCAAGATGATCAGATATTACGTGTACAATATTATATAGAAGTACAATCTGTACGATCTACATATCTTTATGTATTCTAACTTTGTACATATTTATGCAAACGGTGTTGATGTGATTTTGTTCCCTGTGTATATATATCCGTACAGTACGGCCATTATTCTCTTGGCATATTTGATCAAGGGGGATAACTTATCTGATTATGATGTTACAACACAATCTGTTCATTTCATTGAAACACATATATTATTGGTCACGTGTATGTGATTCTTATTGACTTTATATTCGATTTAGCCCTGCTATGTACATAAGCTACACGTCAATCACTTCTACCGGGTGTTATACACTCTTTAGATAACATCTCCCCTTGAATATGCACATATCTATTACTTATATAATCTTATTGTTCGCAATGTAGACTTTATCATTTTGAAGCTTATATAATTTACTGTGTGAGTGGTTTCTTCTTGGTGTAGGAATAGTTAATTTCTCAGTGGACATTTTCAGCCATGGCCTCTTTGTAGGAGACTGTGACATCAACAACCAATTAGAAAAACAATTTCTGATACCAGATAGAATGTTGTCACCAGGTTAGTTTCCATGACGACTGGACCAATGTGTAAACTCAGGACCAATCGTGGTCATTCAACTTAAACCGCTTACAACTTACACATCACATCGCTGGCGTAGTGATATCACACGTGACAGCTGCCCTGTTAACCGCCAGAATATAGTTCGGACATTATGGCCGCAGTTTTCGAAAACCGTTGACGATTTAGCAAACAGAACTTAGTTATTTTCAGCGAGTGAAAACAGACCTTGTAATAGTTTTATCACATCCGTACCTCTGCTTCGGAGGCTGTACTGTGTGTTTCGTCACGTGATAATCACATGACTGAAAAAAGTTCCTATGAGGAATATGGCCGCTACTGTCGATGTTTCGGCACCGTCTTCTGCACATTGTCTGAACTAACTGAATACTGAATATCCTTTATCAAATCGAATTATTTGATGACCATCAAAAATATTTAATTTGTAATGACAACGGATTATGAAAACATACGACATGTGCCGTCGTAGGACGTTTATTGCTAAATTGTATCATGCTAGTTTACGATTTACCCAAATATAAATTCAAATATTATCATGTCAACAACACATCTAGCGCTACAGTGACCGTTGGTAACATCATAGTAATACGACTGTCTCTCTGTAAATGTTGCTGTCTAAATTCGGTCAAGTCATTCCAAATGCCGCAGAATTTTTAAACCAGAGAGTTCTGCAAAGCAATGGCGAATACAGCTCGGACCACATATTTTCTGCTCACTTTACTCATGTTCTGTAAATCACGGGGTACATTAACCATTTAAAGTTGAAAGAAGGTTGACAAAGTGAAACAATATCGCAATATGTTTGTTGGGATTATTTTATTTTATTTTGGGGGGGATTGGGGGGTTGGTTGTTGGGTTTTTTGTTTATTTGGGGTGTTGTTTTTCTTGTTGGTCTTTTTGGGGTGTTTTTCTTCATGGGGTGGGTGGGGGGTTGCGTGGAGAATTTCGAAAAGAAATGTGTTCTTGAAAAAGGGGGGCAAAATAATTTCGCTCAGGTTTCCACCTAATTCATGTTTGCAGGGTTTGAAAGTTGTCCAGTAAAACTTTTTTGTAAAATAATGAAATTATTCATTTCCTCCTTTAACCACCCTTTAACAGATTTGGTTTTAATGAATACACTGTAAGCATGACAGATATGTTTACGTACAAGAAGTCAGAACACCGTGTCTTTCTCCTGACAATTGTGTTGTTTCTATTACAGCGCATCTGATCTAGATACCACTAATGTCTGTATAATATATTAACAGTTTTTAAAACGTACTCCCTATGATGAACTCTAATGAACTGTTTTGGCTACTAATGATCGAGGG